CCTTCCTTCCTTCCTTCCTTCCTTCCTTCCTTCCTTCCTTCCTTTTTTGCTTTTTGTCAAGTGTATATTAAATTCTTAAGACTCTATTTAAAATTTCTTAAATCCAAAGAGAAAGGTTAAAACTCACCAGGTGTCAAATTGAGCTTGTCATTTTGAAGGTCTCCAATATCCATAAAGTGGTTAAATTGAACATTTCCAAAAGTGATTAGAATGTGATTTCAGCTGGCTTTGTGTCCTTATGAAAGGCTCTGCTGCTGCTGAGAGCAAAGATGTCATCTCCCTCAGCTCCTGGTGTTCAAACTCATGGGAGACCATTGCTTTATCATCTCCTCACAAGGAGCTGCCATTCAGAGCACTTGTGGGTAATCTCCCAATCTTCTCTAGAGAAAATCCATAGTTAAGCATCTGTAGACATCAGTTCAGAACAGTTCAGAAAACTGTAGAGCATTTAAATCTTGTCCTGGACATCTTTGCTACAATTTGCACTGTTAAGAGAGTATTATTCTTGATTTATAATTTGCAGCAGCACTTCCTCACAGCCATACTAACATGTGATAGCTATCATTAACATGGAATAAACAAATGAATTTTAGCTCTTAGTCAAACTGAAAATCTGTGCAATTTTCTGCATTCTTATTGACTTCATTGAATCTCCATTCCTCTGCTTTGCCAGAGTTATTCACAATGCTATTAAAAGGAAATAGTAATTGGCACTAGAAGATATGCTAACAGTGAAGTACCATTAAAAAGGAGACAAATTTGAAACAAGATTTTTTTTTTCAGCAGGCTTTCAGTTATACCTCAGCTGCTGCAGCTCTGGCCTATAGAAGCTTTTCATGATCAAAGTACCCTTTGAACACATATGAATAATGTCTTTTGTAAAGGCCTTACTAATTGCGGAGATAAAATTACCATCTGCAGAGAAGATGATACAAATTTTTCCTCCCATGCTAACCAGTCATTTAATTATGAAGACCTCGTGCCCTTGACTTCCTGCCTATCCTGCAGGATACTTCAGGACTACAGAAAAGAAAGTCATGAAGAAGCTGTGTTGTTCCATGAGAAATATTCCAAAACCATACATGGTAATGCCACTATTAGGGCCAGCCACATGTCAGGAAAAAAAATTAACATAAATATCACCAAGTTGCATATTCTATGTGATTATCAGAGTAGCATTCTAGCCACAAAATCTCAGATTTGTTATCCATGTGAATACATTGCTGGGAATGATCAGGGTTGTTATTCACGGAGGAATACAATACTAATAGTGTTAAAAAAATAAATTTAAAAGTCCAATAAATTGTGATAATTAAAATTCTCCCACCAGTCTCTTATATACTAGTGGACTAGTAATGTGCTACATTAATGGTTCTTGCCAATAATCTAACCGTAATTATGCTTTCTTAAATAAACATCATGCGATTGAAACCAAGTAATTTTCTTTCAGATCTGATGAGGAATCATTGTTTAATTGGTCTTTAAATTGATCTTTCATTGATCTTTCATTCTCTTATACTTACACTGATAATCTAATTTCAGTTTATAAGGAATAAATTTATATTCCCTGTATTTTATATTCCCTGTATTTATCCATCCATAATCCTTGTGTTCCTATGTGAAAATATCAACCTACAAACAGTTGTTTACAAAATTCCCAAGGTTAACAAACACTGATTTCTAAGTCCATATCAGTGAGCTTCATATACATGGGCAAAAATTCCCAATATACTGCATAGAAATCACTTTTTTATTCCTGTATATTGTGTATCCAATTTTAGCTTTTTTATTACCAAGAATGAAAACATATGCTTAATTTCATACATGTCAAAGATGTAGAAATGAATAGACTTGTGATCTGTAAATATTACAACAAATTGACTGGGGTGTTCCACTATTTAAAATTCTTGTAGCTTCATCAATATAAAATAAGAATTGCATCCATTAGCCTGGTAAGATTGAACTGTTTTAATCACACTTGATCACCTTTAACTCTACCCCCCCCCTTTTTTTCTCCCCTATATTCATTAATATTCTCATATGGTGCAGTGGTTTCCATGACTGCTCTGCAACCATTCCATTTAGCTGAGAACATTTTTTTGTCATTCTAAGGGTGAAAATAAGATTTGTAACAAAATGCAATCTCATTTTGTATTTGCAGTATCTTTCATCTTTTCAGGGAGACAGCTATGCCATCCACCAACCAGACCATTCTACCATCATCCATTTCCTTTTTTAAATGGATATTCATCATCCAAATGGGTGGGCAACTTCTGGTGGCTAGAATTCATATTAACATTGGCAGAAGGAATGATGAGGGAAACTGCATGTTGCTTTAGATTGGGGGATGATTCAAGGCCAGTATTTTTTGTTTTTCCTGGTGGAATTTAGGAGGCAAGGATAGTGTTTTTCATTTTACTTTTAAACTGCATTACAATTATTTCAGGACTTACTACTGTTTCAGATACTACATTCATAAGTTTCCTGCCTTAAATGTTTGGAAGGTACATGGCTGATTTTGGAAACTGTGATTAAAGGGGGCTTCAGAGCAAAAAACCTTCAAAGCTACATTTCTTGTTATTTCAGTAAACCTCAGATGCATCTTCTTCCTCAGTGATTTATTTTTATTTTTTTACATTTCTTACTAGTATGTTTGTATCTCAATTTTTGTCTGGCCCTTCAGAGGAGACCACTTTTCTAATTTTATCCTAACAGTAATAAACGTGCAAAGAACGATTGTCAAGCAAATAGATACTGGCCTAAATTCACCCATTTGCTCTATAAATATATGAAGACTTGAACCTTTATCTCTGAATTCCCAATTCAATAGCTTAACCACTACACTTTTCTGGATCATGGCTCTATTTTATTCAACTACTCAATTACAGCATGAGAGGAGATTATGACTTTCTGTCTCTCTCACATTCTGTAGCCAACATAACACATTCCACATACAGTATATACTGGCAGTTCCAGATTCTGTCTTTCATAAACAGCTCACAAAATCTTAGGGCACAACGTACTTGTTAGACCTTATGGAGTGATACAATTATTTTTTCAACCTGGGGAGAAAAAGAAAGAGAAAGAGATTTTACATAGGGGGGTCAGAAATATTTTCACCGAGTCCCTTCAAATTCTGATTCTGTGAGATAATGGTGGGATTGTCTTTCAAATACTCTTTTTGATCAAATAAGTTAGTTCACCTGTAGTATGAAACATCTTCCTGGTATCCCCAAATTCATTCTGAGCTTGTTTGACTCAGTCTGCAGAAGACATATATGGAGAAAACAGAACACAAGAGATTAGACAGCTGATATTTTTTCTGTGCTCTGCTATATGCTGTACAACATCTATATTTCTTTTCACTATAATGTTTGTGATATAAATTTGTGTTCCATACAGCAAAGATAGATTAAAAAATAAAAACAGAAAAACTAGTTGTAGCAGTAAAATATTGATTGTGTCTTCTTTCCTTCTCTTCAGTTCTTGAGTATCTTTGGGCTGCTTTATGCATTACTTTAGAAGCAGCTACACATTAATGTGTA